GAGAGAGAGAGAGAGAGAGAGAGAGAGAGAGAGAGAGAGAGAGAGAGAGAGAGAGAGAGAGAGAGAGAGAGAGAGAGAGAGAGGGAGAGAGCAGGGGGGACGGCAGCTATAGCTGCTCAGCTCGGAAAAGGAGATGACCAGCAAGAAGAAGAAATAGACGTAGAGAAAGGGAAGAAGAAAGTGACGAAGAGGGAGATAAAGTCAGCCATAGCCGAGGTGACGAAGACGAAGGTTTTGACGAAAAAAAGATCCACCATAGCCGGAAGGTTGGAGGGTTGACTAGATAGTTGACCAACGTTGACCACGGCGTTGACCGGGTGTTGACCAACGTTGACTGAGAGTTGAACAAGGGCGTTGACCGGGCGTTGATCGAAGTTGACCAAAGTTGACCAGGGTGTTGACTAGGAGCGTTGACCAGCGAGTTGACCAAAACCGTTGACCGGAGCGTCGGCCCAACTGGAGTGAGAAGATTATCGGTACTATCCTTCCAAGCCCTAGCCTATCCCCTTAATCCATGGATGTGCACCTTCATCCTGGTACTTGTTGACGTCGAGTCTTTCAGGGTCAGTCAGTCATATCTCCCTGTCACTTTTGTCCAGGTCGGTAGGACTCTGTGATTGTGGACATAGAACTGTAAGTCTAACCCGTATAGTGGATAAAAGTCCCCTAGATTCAAGTTAACCCGGTGGGTTACGTGCTGAGGCGTGGAATCATTGCTGATTGTGCACTTTCACCATGGTGACCCTCAGGTCAGGAGTTAGCACGACTCCCTACAGCAAGGAGCAAGAGGAGAGAGCTGCCGCCCTTCTGCGTGAGAGGAAGGAGAAGATGGAGAAGATGGAGTTGATCAGACAGGCCAAGATGTTGGCCCTGCTGGAGGAGCAGGAAGCAAAGAAGAGGCAGATGGAAGAGAAGGAGATGGAGAAGTGGACGAAGGAGAAGGAGGAGAAGATGGCAGCCATTCAAGCGGAGGAGGAGGAGGAAGAAGAAGAAGAAGAAGAAGAAGAAGAAGAAGAAGAAGAAGAAGAAGAAGAAGAAGAAGAAGAAGAAGAAGAAGAAGAAGTGGTAGAGGAAGAGGTACCGTTGGAGAGACGAAGAGATGGAGCAAGCACGAGTAGGGAAGACGAGATTGCAAAGATTGCACAGGAGTGGGCCACACATTTGGAGTTGGGGGAAGACAGGGAGGCCGAGTTGGCCATACCTTAGGAAGAGAGAGTAGCGGCAAGGAGGCAAATTGAGACAGAAAGGGACCTGGTAAGGAGAAGGGTGAAGGAGGAAGAACAGCAAAGGGCATGGAAGTGGCGGCTGTCCCAAGAGAGGGTAAGGCGTTTAGAAGCGGCGGAGAAGGCAGAGAGAGATCTAAAGGCGGAGGAAGCCAGGATGGGGAAGATACAACTCGTGGCTATGGTCGCTGAACATTGTCTCAACCACCAGCCTCTCTCCCCCTCATGCACGCACGTACGAGCATTCCATGCTGCACAGACACACTCTGTACACCCTGTCTACACCAACAGCTGGGCGGCCATGGTCGCCGTCGTCTTCCTCCTCCTAGCTATGGCCGCCGGTGTCTCTCTCGCTGGTTCGCCATGGCCGCTGTCTTCTTCACAACCCACTTCCTCTCCGGGCACCTGCAGACCTCCACGCACAAGATACCAAGGCAGCTCTTCCGCATGGCACACATAAAAGGGCCTTTATGATTCAGACCCCTAATTGTGACCCCAATATAAAAGGGGCCCTATCGGCCAGAACTCAATTTCACGATTGGCATTCCAACGGACAAGTTCTCTGAAGCAAAATTCGCATCAAAAGAAAAGTCGTTCCTGAAAAGTCACAGTCAGGTCCTAGACGAACAGGTACCGGGCTCAATTTTAAGGCTGAGACAGGGTCATGTCTGTGCGGCAAAAAGTCAAAGGTCACAGTCCCAGACGAGTCACAGTCCCATGGGTCAAATCTGATTCAGACCAGGAGTCCAAAAGACAGGCCCGACGGCCAAAGCAGCAGCAGACCATGGGAAAGGATACTGGGACACACACTTTGCAACAACAGGTACTGGGTTGGAGTCCCAGACACTTGGAGGGTGGATGCAGACCACGCCAGACCAGTCTAGCACTATAAAGGACTGGCCAGCCTCCCATTTGGACAGATACTCATTCGCATGAGAGTGTGGAAGTGCTGAAGGCACTTGTGCACCAGATGTGATTAAGCCAACTCATCTTTCGTTGAACTTTGTGTGAGACATTGAAAATCTGTGAGATCTGTGTTACATGCATGATAAGCGATACACTCCAGCAAGTGACGAACGAGCAGGTTCCTTGCACACAGGCGAATGGACGAATGGCTGGACGCTGCCTCTTTATTTATACTTCTTCAGAGGTACCCAGGCCCTGCCTCAAAACGTGTGGGCCTGGGCCAAAACGTGTGACCCAGGGAAGCTTCCAGACGTTTGACCTTCTGGCCAAAACGTGTGGAACCCACAGCGTGGTCCAGAGCCTTCCCACGTGCAGCCCCTACCCCTGGTACTTGCTGACTGGACTGGCCTACAGGGACCTACGACCTTCTAGAGCCTACAGACTTACAAACAGACTCTAGGCCTCAGTAGACTCAGATAGAGACTTCTAGAACAGACCTTCTCTAAGTCTAACGGTAAGAGAACCTAACTCCTAATCTACAGACCTAGGGATCGAATCTCACTCAGCAAACAGGGTCAATGTACAGGGTTTGGGCACAGGTCTAGGGATCGAATCTCTGTGTCTGCAAATGTCGGGTCTACTGGGTGAAACCATTTCACTAAGTAGTCCGGAGCATCAACACACCCTAAGTGTATACTATTCAGCATACACACTTAGCATGAATATTTGTGTGATGAATTTTCTGCTTGCCGGTAATAAGTAACAGGACTGGAGCCCCCCAGAATAGATGGGGCGAGTGTGTGTGTTGGGTGAAAAAAAAAAAAGAACTCACTTATCATCTTCTATTGATGCTAAGTAGTCCTCACTTATCATCTTCTATTGATGCTAAGTAGTCCAGAGCATACGCTTAGCGTGAATAGAAGGCACCTCGCACTTATTGTGTTCTATTCAAGCTAAGTAGTCGGGGGCATCAATACACGCTATACACGCTTCGCATAAATAGAACACAATTATCGTGGTCTATTCATGCCAAGCAGTCGGGAGCATCAGTACACGCTAAGTGTATTCAGCATACACGCTTAGCATGAATAGAACGCACTTAGCGTCATCAATACATGCTTACTAGCATGAATAGAACACACTTAGCACCATTAATACACGCTCACTAGCATGAATAGAACACACTTAGCATAGCTCTCGGGAGCATCAAGTAATACATCAATACTTGAAAAAGAGTTCCTCTCTCGACAAATCTCGACAATAACGCGCCCCCTTCTTCCCACGCACCCTATGATAGGCAGAAGATGACTCATTATCGTCGAGAGTTGTCCCTCATTAGTTATATCCATCATTGGTGCCCCTATGAGGGCCAGAAGGTGTCGCAACCCATGATTGGTGCCCCTGATAAGTGTTACATCAATCATCATCTGCATGTGAGCACAGAGCAGAACGCCAGATGGACTCCATCGTCCCGAGCATAGAGCGCAACAGCAAGAGCACAGAGTGTATACCTGGCAAGCAGGTGAGGAAAGCTACAGCAACAGCAACAGACAGCAGTCACAGCAGCAGCACAGGGCAGCATATAAAAGACAGGTTACCTTTTTTTTTTTTTTTTAATTGCTCCAATCTATTCGTGGGGAGCAACACGTGCTGGGAACCGGGCCCAGCGTCCCTTATAATTGGAATACATTGATGATTGATGAAAATTTGGGATGATTCAGGAACACTTCAGGATGATTGAGATAATAAGCTAGAGATTGATGCTGACTACTCAGAATGCTTATCTACTCAGATCTCACATACTACTACCCTAACCCTAATCTCAGGTATAGATACCAACCAGCCAGTCTCTACCGAGCCAATACTGTATACCAACCAAGCCTCTACCCGGTCTCACACCCCAATCTAGTTAGGTTACAGGGCAGCGCCACCCACCCCAGCGCCGACCCTCATCGGGCAGATTGTAGCCTTTGGTCAAGTATTGTAATTGCCTTCCACCCTCAGCGATCCCCAAATCCAAGGCCTCAAGCTCCTATGAAGGTTACAGGGCGATGCCCCAGCGCCGGCCAGCATCGTTCTGGTTTCTACTCAACCTGGGCAAGAACACAATGAAAGCTCAATTAGGAAATCAGCTAGACTAGAATGTAACCTAAGAATTCAGATCTGATAATAGTGGGATCCTGAGCAAACAACCAATCTGATGATGATGATGATGATGATGATGATGATGATGTTGATGATGATGATGATGATGATGATGATGATGATGATGATGATGATGATACTTGATGTTGATTGACCCTCCCCTGTCCACCCCTCCTCTTTTCCCCTCTAACCACCCCTCCTCTCCCTTGCTGCCTCCACTAATCAGAACCGCTCTGTTGTTGAACGGTTCCTCACGGCCCCAACAATAAAGTCGGGAACCAGGGTTAAAGCACCAGTACGCCACGTATCGGCCTGCGGGTGTCAGCATGAAACCCGCACCACTCCGGAGGCCGCCAATTTTTTTCTTCAACGGCGGGCCTGGCCGCGCGGCGCCTCCGAGTTTTGCTTGTGGCGACAAAAATTCTCCGCAAGGCTGGGCCCGTGTACTAGCGGCTTAAGGAGGTGAGTGCTCTGAGACAGGCAGGATAGTATTGATAATTCAGTTTGAAACCAGGTTAGTAGTACCTAATTCGGCAACCAGGGGTAAGGAGGTTTGCTAATTTGGAAACTAGGTTCACTAACCCAGGAACCTGGGGGAAGAAGGTGACGAGGCTAGGGTAAGAACGGTGAGTGCTCTGAGACGGGCAGGGTAGTATTGGCTGAAAACTGACACTTCTCCCCTCCCCAAACCCAACCCCCCCCCCGAAAAAAAAAAAAGGGGGAAACTACACGGGAGTCACGAGAACGAGTTATAATTGCATTATGGCCCAAGATACAGTCTCAAATTGCAGTTTGGGCAATGTATACCCAGGTGTAGGGTACCCGAAGTGCAATTATTGCGAACTGTATCTTGCCCCATAGTACAATTATAACTCGTTTTTGTGACTCTACTGAAGTTACCCCCAAAGACAATGATCCTAGCCTTCCTAGGGGTTTTGGGTTCAATTCTTCTCAGATTAGAGACACGGCATAGCAAGGGCGATAAGAGAGGGAGACTAGCAATAGCAAGGGCGGATGAAAGAATTGTTTAGCAATAGGCAGGGGTAGAGGAGGGGTACATCTTACTTTCGCAGGGGCCATGGCTGACATGCAGACCTGCGTTCGAATCTAGACCTGTAATCAATGCTGCTGCTGCTGTCTCAGGGTCGTTCAACCATAATGGAAGGAAGTGTTGAGTGAGTCAATCACGTCAAAACAAAAAAAAAAACAAAAAAAAGGGAAGCTGGAGTCAAATCCCGCGTTCTTAGTAAGTTTTATTTTCCTCAAAAATAAAGAAAAGAAGGAATAAGGCCTACTTCCCCCCCCTCCCCCCCACCCACACCATTTGAGGCCTACTTTTAAGTTTTAACATTTATTACGATCCTGCCCTCCTGGCTAATTCAGAGGTGCAAATTCACCAGGAAAGACAATGCCGTTCAATTGCAAAAGAAATGAAAGAACTTGAAAGGAGAAAAAGACAAAGGAAGAAGAAAGAAAGAAAGAAAGAAAGAAAGAAAGAAAGGAAGAAAGAAGAAGAAGAAGTTAAGGGTAAAAAGAAACAGTTAAATAAACTGTCACACGGAGGACAAAAACACTCAGTTTTGCCAAACACCACCATACTTATAATTCAACAATGCCGAGATGTAACACCAGTCCCAACATGCCCATTCCCATCCCCCTCCTTCTTCCCGTGACTCCACCACCTTCGTTGCGCACTTTCCCCGTTCATCCCGACCGAGCGCGTCCTCATCCGGCATCTTATCTCCGCCTTGCATCCTACTTGATTCAAAAAAGAGCTATTCACCGGTAGCGGATCAACGAGCACATTCCAGGCGCGAGAATGGAGAACCGTGGGAGTCAGGATCGCAGCTATATACTATATGTGCGTCTCTGTCCGCGGTGCCCATTCCCTTCCTCGCTGCGCTAATAATCCCGGTCACCAGTTACCGAAAAAACAGGAGGTAGCAGCAGTATAGGTGCCCAAATTTTT